CTTATATTGCAAATTTGGAGAAAATAGGATGAAATTTTGAAGACTCAAACAACTTATAATGCACTCACACACTTAATGTGTGCTGCTATTGCTTCCGCTGTGATCTCAGTCTAGACGAAGAAACCCTATGTGACATAAAAGGCAAGGATTCTAGGTGAGGAGAGAGCACTTTCTTTACAGAGTCACAAGTCAAGGGAAGTTATGGAGTGCAGAAGGGGGGAAATTAGATTGAAAGAAGGGGAATGGAATGGCATTTTCTTTTCCCTCTTAAAATTTATGGTCTTAATAAGTTAGGATGTAAGAGGAAAAACACACTCCTGTGTCTCCTTCCTTTCAATACTCCAATCACAGAACACTTCACTTATGGTCACCAAGTGTGTGGGGATTTTTTCCACACCAAGCAATTCTACAAAACCAGCTGGGTGTCCTACAACTACAATTCAATCAGTTCTGACACTGTTTACCTGATTCTCTTGACCCCCTTTCAGATGCCAATCTCAAGTCCAGGATGTTATCTATACTTCTTATCCACCAGGAATTAAAAAAGGAGAGTTCCACAAACTTCTCCCTAGGTTCAATTAATTTGCTAGAGCAGTTCAGAGAACTCAAGAATACATTTTACTTAAGAAATTGTCAGTGTATTATAAAATAATACAACTCAGGAAGACACAGATGGAAGAAATGCGTGGCACAAGGTATGGGACAAGGGGAACAGAAGTTCCATGCTTCCTCTAGGCCTATCACATATCAGCATCTGTATGTATTTGCCAACCTAGAAGATTTCTGAATGCCCTCCTTTGGGCTTTTCAGGAGGCATCATTGCTTAAGCATGATTGATTGAATCATTGGCCATAGTTGCTTGAACTCTAACTTCAACCCCTTGCCCCTTCCCACAAGTGCATAGGAGGTGGGGCTGAAAGTTTCAATCCTATAATTACAGGGTTTGATTCCACTGACCTTAATTGCTTTGATCACTTAGTAAATTCCAATCAATAACATTAATTCAGGTGTGTTTGAAAGAGATTGTTATGAATAACAAAATATACCTTAGAAAAAAATGATCTTTGCAAAATGAAGGAGTAAAAAGTGGGATTGGGTTGAGGGAAGAGGAGAGGAGATGATAAATTTGCTTCACAGAGAAAAAAATGATCTTTGCAAAATGAAGGAGTAAAAAGTGGGATTGGGTTGAGGGAAGAGGAGAGGAGATGAGGAGGACCTCTTACAGAATACCCCTAGGAAATCCTGTGATATATGACTGAGAAGCAAGGACCAAGTTTATTGTGGATGGCATAGGTTATAGTAGATTTTCCCAGCAAAGCTCCTGTCTGTCTTGAAGGCAGCGTTTATTTTTGTAGCCACGTGCAGGAATCACAGGAGCATAGAATTTGAAAGTGTTGTGGAGTTGGGAGACTTAAGTGAAAGTTTGATCTCATGATGAAATGCTAAAGAAGCTTCTCGAATCTCAGTTTTTTCAGCTGTAAAATGGAAGTGGGAGTAGACCTCAAAATGGAATGCTCATAAATTTTCTGTGAGTGTCCCTATTCTAATCTGAGTTCATTGTATGTTATAAGGTAATAGGGGGGAAAGCAGATTTTATGATGAGAATAAACAGAGATGTATGTTCCCCTAATGTTCTAGAATGGCTGGTTCCAGAACTGAAAGGTAAATATACTCATTCAAGGAAGAAAACACGAAGTAGAAATTCATACGAAGTTATAACTTTATAGATTTTTGTTTTGCAATCAGCAATTCTTTCTGCACATGTTTGACTGATGGATTCACAAATACCACTTTTATGTAGAGGCCATGCTTTTAATCTCACTGACATACTTTGTGAAAGTTCAGAGAGCTGAGAACTAACATCAGACTTTACAGCATAATCCACTACAATGTAGAGGTGCCTTGTCATGTGCTCATCACGTGGCTTTTATGATATAATCAAGAGAAATAGTAACAAGCTCCTCTCACAAACTAGATTAAAAGGGACACACTCACATTTCCCCTTCATGGCCATGTCAAAGATAGAGTAGGAGGAATTTAAACTTTATGGCATCATATCTGTCACAGGCGTATCTATCTGGTAATATGGAGCTCATTTTTCAAGGCTACAAGTCCAGTAACCTTCACAAGAACAAAAATAAAGCAAAACAAAGAAACACTCTCTGGAGAAATGCATTGCTTCTAATCTTGTTTATGGATCTTAACTGTGGGGGTTTGAAGATGGAACAAAGACCTCTACCTCCCCAGGCACACACACAAAAAAATACATACACCCAGAAATAAATATCAAATGCCTAGTGATGCATATTGTAGATTAATTTGTGATTTTTTTAAAAAAAAGGGGAGTTGGTTTAGGAAGAGTAACTGATATCATCCCTGTTGAAGCTCTGTCTTGCACTGTGATTTGTACCTGGGAAGGCCAAAGCATCAACCCCATTTATTTTGAATATCTTGGCTTGCACTTGATCACCACTGTACCTATATTCATTCATTGTACATACGTGGGAGTATTTAGTTCTAGATAAATGTGTTGTTCGAAAGCCAGAGGCTGATGATGAGGTAGAATATAAGGAGTTCTTGCTTATTTTGTCTATGTTTCTGTTTGACTTAGGAGATAATTATAATACAAATTGATGCTCCCATGTTAAACAAGGTACTAAATCAGCATGAAATATAGGATTTGGGAAAGCCATTTGCCACATAATTATAATTTCTTAAAATTCCTGTGTTCCTTGCATATGAGAACCTATAATCATGTGCTACATACCAATAGCATTACTCTTCCCTCCCCCCCCATGGGAGATAGTTAAATAAAGTTAAGTAACAAATTTTTAAATATTATTAGTTTCAAAGTTTAAATATTATTAACTGATATTTAAACAAAATCAGCAAAGCAAAAACTTATGTTTGTTGATCGGGGATCTAGCTTCAAGTGGGAGAAATTACAGATTCCAGGAAGCAAGATTAAAATAATAAATCTGTGAACTCCCTTTAAAAGTCATGTCTTATCAACAAATACAGTTTATTTATCATCATGAAACCACTAAAAGTGTATGATTTTCATCAGCAGAGAGAATAGAAGCAAAGTAGGAATGCAAGAGGGGTTTGGAATCAGAAAGAGACACATTTGAGAATGTATCAGAGGTTATATTCAAAATATTTATCAACTAGAATTTCAGGGACATAGACCCCTCAAGAGGGAGGGGTTCCAGGACAGGGATCTAGAAACCCCTCTTATGCCAGGATTTACACTTTTAGTTGGTGGATTATGGGGGCGGTGTTTATGGGGTAGACCTGAAATACTGGGTTTAGGAGCCTACTCGGGGTACTGGAGGAATTAACTAGAAGAGATGCATTTCTATACTAATCTGCAGAAGTACTTAGAACTACTTCTAACCAATATGGAAGTAGTGCAACATTTTAACAAGTGCTGACATGCTGTATATATTGGCCCTTGGATGACACCTATTCATTGCTTGCCCTTAGTAGTTTAACCTTACTGAACCAGCCAAGTGAGAGAAATGAAAGTGATGAGTTTTTCTGACTAGTTATTGGTTTGCTCTACAACCTCTTCCAGCTGAAGGAGAACTTAGTCATCTCTCCTTTCTCTTTTCCTCAGGCATCCAGTATACATATCCCCAGAGCAAGGGCAAGTCCCACTACAGAGCAAAGGGACTTCCAGAATTTCAGCCACATGCAGAAAAGAAGCAGAGTTTGCATTCCATCCTGACTTCCAGCTCAGGGGTTAACCCACCTGGGAGGTGATTCAAGAATATGTAATTCTGCAGTTCAGGGTGCATGCTGTCTCTTCCTTTCCCCCTTTTTTGGCTCCAATGTTTATTTGTGCATAAATGATACAATAATATCTTTGCATTGAACTTTTTGAAATGTATTCTTAATTATGATATCTAATAGCAACAATTATGCATATAAAAATCTCTCGGCTTAACTTTGCACAAGTTTTGTTGGTTCCAAAGGAAACTTTAATATGCATTTATCAGTTTTCTACATTGAAGAAGTGAGTCTTATCCCAAAGGAGTATCGTTGGTATGTCTCTGTATACTCTGCAAAGTATAACACGTCTATATGTTTGAGAGACTCACAACTAAAATCCCATAAATAATTTTGAACATCAATTTGTTAAAAAAAACTATAAAAATGTCACACGAATTATCAGAGAACTAGAAAACACATAGAAGATTTAATGAGCGATTGAAAGAGTAAGATGTGGTAGCGGTAAATAGAAATGCGGTGGATGTAAGACAAAGAAAGATGAGAAATTTGTTTGCTTATTTCCTTTTTCCAATTCCACATCAAAGGGCCTTTGCTTACTGCCTTTGCTTGATGTAGCATTTATTTTTAATTAGGAAAATATTGTCAGTGGAAAATAGTTGGCGAAATTTACCCTAAGAAATTTGTTTTTAGATCAGTGCTTCTAAATGTTCTTCACCAAGACATCTTTTCCCTATGCTTCTCCACAAATTTCATATTTTAATTTTTTAAATGCAAATTGTAGCTATTCAATAAAATAGTTTTTCCTTATTTTTAATTAATCAGAGAATTATAACTTTCTAAGCAAAATACTCAGATCTTCTGATGATCATAAAATAACTGAATAACAACATAAAAATCTGATATAATTGTAACTAAGGTAAAGACACTTCAAATTTAAAAATACCCTACATAATCTTTTCACAGCTAAATTTCAATGTCTAAATTCTTTGAAATATGAAAATGCTTCAGTCAGAACCACACGTACCATCTCCAGAGCCCCAACTATTTAAAGATTCCAAATTGGATAGCCATGGATTAAATTAATTTAAAATAATCTAACAAATATGATTCATTCTTATTTGAAGATTGAATTATTCAGTGTACCATAACTGTCCAAAAGTGATAGAAGAGAAAATCCTGAAGTCCTTTCAAATCTTTGTCTTCCCACCCCTTCTTCCCCTCTCTGTTAAGACTCTTAATTGACTCTGAGATGCAAAAGTACTCACCAGCCTGATTCGTTGTGATGCTGACTGCAGCAAACTGTCGTGGTGGTGAGCTCAGCTCTGACACCCCGTTAATGGCATCGATTTCAAAGGTGTAGTTAGTGTGTGCCAGGAGATCTGTCACTGTCACCGTGGTGTTGGTGAGTCCAAACTGTCGAGGGAGGAAGCGAACATTTGGGCTGCATGGCTCACACTGTTTTACATTCCACCCACATTTTTTACATATGATGTTGAAGGTAACATCTTTCCGGCCTCCTGTGTCCAGGGGCCAACTCCAGTCGAGGATAACCGAGGTCTCGTTTATATTAGAGATAACATTTCTTGGTGCAGATGGAGGTCCTGCAAAGTAGTTCAACAAAGATTAATGAGCCTCACTTCTGGATTCTACTACAAGGGAAAGAGATAGTTTACAATGGGACTGAAAGAGGTAAATAACCATCTTGTCTTTATTACATATTTTAATTTGTCCTTAGAGAATCCATGAGATTATAGACATGGATTCAAGAACACTGTTCTCTCCAAGCTATGGGTGAGGGAGATGTGACTCAAGGTTGAATATGCATTCAGAAAGCCCAACAAAGGTATTTACCATTAAACTCAATGCCCTTGTGAATAGTTATGAAATCTGTAGTGTTACTTTTATAAATCTTAGTCCTCTTCCTGATGACCTATGACCAACATGTAGCAAGAGGGAATCGAAATGCAAAAATACAAATCCCATGCTTACAATCTCGCCTATCCTGTCTAATAAAAAGCAAAATCTAAAAAAGATACAGAGAGTTTTCCGGTCCTGTTGCAGTAGGTGCTTTATAAATCAATTCATGTGAGAAATGTTGCATTTGTGGTGAGCCAAGCATGGAGAGTGAAGCAGAGAAAGCTCTCAATTTGCACATGGGTAGCACAAGTAAATGGGCCAAATGCTTAAAAACAAACAAAAAACAAAATACAAGAAGCAAAAACCCAACAATAACACAATAAAAAACAAAATAAAACAAACATGGATGCATGGGTTGCAGCAAAACTACTCACGGGTACAAGCCATGGATGGAGGGTCTTTGTCTGCTCGGAAGTAATTATTCTCACACCTGCAGTTCATTGAACCATCTTCCTGAGTAGAACTGTGAGGTGGGCACTTAGCACACTTCGTGTTACCGTCCGCAGCCTTGTAGAAACCGGGTGGACAAGCTACAAACAAAATAACTCTTTTAAACTTCTGTAATTATTTTGAAAACACATTTTTAAAAAATATGTTAAACAGAGTTTCGGATGTTAGGGCATGCATTCACTCTGAATCAAAATTCATTTTTCCTTCCAGCCTTTACAGAAGCAAATAACATGGCCCAGTGTAGTTTCTCCACAATATACATTTGAATTTGCACCAAATGTTAAAGAAAAAAACACACACCCACAAGATTTAGATTATTTTGGCACCAGGGTGTGATGAAATTTCCAGCTCATGTTTTCACAGCTTTACTTGGCATTGGAATATTTGTGGAGAAAATAAAGCAAAGCCATGTCATCATGTAGCCATTCCCTTTTAAAACATGATGCAATGTGTACACGATCTGCACTACAGTTAGCACCGTCATTGTGGGCATGTGAAACACAGACTTCATTCTTATATTATTACTTATTAATTATATGGTAATGGCCTAAAATAAAGAGTGAAATATAGCTCCTGTCTATATCTCAAATACATAAGGAGATACAATTTCTATTTAAATAAATATATTTCCTTTCCCATATCTCAAACATAGGGCGGTACAATTTTTATTTAAACTGACATACTTGTGAATTGTTATTAGATTAAAGCTTTTTATTTTGTTTATTTTTTAAATATTTTTTTTATTAATTTCAGAGAGGAAGGGAGAAGGAGAGAGAGATAGAAACAATGATGAGAGAGAATCATTGATTGGCTGCCTCCTGCATGCCCCCTACTGGGAATCGAGCCTGCAAAGGAGGCATGTGCCCTGAATGGGAATGAACCCATGACCTCCTGGTTCATAGGTCAAAGCTCAACCACTGAGAACTAAATTCATGGTGAAAATACCAACAAGAAGTTCTTTGACATTCCTTTGATGAAGGAATTTGGGGTCCAAATGTTTAAAGTTTCCTTCAAAACATCTTTGGACGTCAGTAATTTCTTGAATCTATAAACTCAATTTCAGTGCTACACTGAAATTGTATTACTTAAAGTACTTAGATATAGAATAGTCCTTATAGATTATCTTTATCATTGAATTGAAGAATTATCTCATATAAACTTCATATTGCAAATAACAAGATATTTGCATTTAACTAATATATGTGTGGACAAATATTAACTTTTATAATAAATGCATTTTGAAAGGTAACCCATGGTATCCATAATAGTATATCTTCCTCCTAGTAAGGTTCTCGGGAAATACACTGCCAAAACAAACAATTAGAATAACTTAAAATGATAGCAATCATTAATTCAGTCTTGCTGTTTTCCAGATTCTATTAAGAAGGGTTGCTCTAGGACAAGGTTACATTAAATTGAACAACTTTAGGGGCCACATTGAGAACCAGTAAAATAAATTTCATTGCCCTAACCAAACATGGGTTGGGATTAAAAAGTTTTGAACATTGTCTGTAGGCATTGGTTAGAAAATTATACTTATATCTCCTGTTATACTGCCTCACAGAAGATGATACAAAGTATAAACAAACTATGCACTTAACTTCTGGTTTCAATTTAGCTCATCATTAAAGTGACTTTAAATTTGCAAGGGGGCATTACTGAGTCTTTCAAGATTAAGTTGCTTTGTTGTTTTGTTTGCTGGTAAGTCTATCTATGTGCTTTTATTTGGGGCTGTTATGGTTTTTACAACATTTAGCATAAAGGTATTCATTAAACAGTCCATCACTTTTTGTTACTATTATAAATGGTATGTGATACTTAAAGAAAAGACAGTCATATAATACTTCTTAGCCACACCACTACAGCCAAAGATTTCTGATAGTAACTTGAATTCTATCAGTTAATAACTAGTTAATCAAAAAATCAACTTAGAAGTTAAGAATGTTAATTCAAATTAGTAGCTAAACTTTACCTAATTATGACTAAATAATTTTAGAGATGACACTAGTACAATATAGGTAGGCACATGCACATGCAGTTCAATAAATCATTTCCTCTTTTTCAGGCTTTTGGGTACCCTTAAAGATACAAATTCCCTAATTCTGTCCATCCCCAAAGGGCCCCTGAAATCAAAAATGAGCACCAGACATTTAATACAGGCCACCTGGAGCAAGCACCCCATTCCAATGGAGCTGTTGGAAGAGATTACACAGAGGAATCTCATCTGAGAAAGATCATGAAAAGATGGAAGGAACTGGCCTGTGCGAAGCATAATTAAATACACAAATAGATCGACATGAAAAGACAAACTGTTAAGCAGAGGAATGTGGTGGGTACAGTTGGTTGCATACTCAGTGTCCAAACTCTGCCTTCTGCTTGCTAATAGGATCCTGATTTGTTCAGAATTGCATCCAACCTACTGCTCCCGAATGCAGATTTCACTGCAGATAGTGATGGATGGCCAACGTATGGCCAAAGAGACACAACAGAAATCGATGAAGGTGTTTGGGATAGCTTTTCCCCCTTCACAAAGGGGTCCAAAAGCAACTGAAGCCACCTCATCTGCATCATTCCAGAATTGATTATGGACTTAATGGCTTACATGTGACAATAAGTTAAAGGCCAAAAAAATCACAGGATGTGTACCCTGCACTTGTTGACCCAGCAGGCACCTATCTCAAGATTTATCTTAATGTCAAAAAATAACAGCTTGTTTGCTGAAGTCACTGTGGTCAAGTTTTCTTTTACTCACAGCAGAAAGCATATCTAAATGACATAAAAACAAAGAGGATTCAGTTGAGATGTACTGTTTAAATACAAGGAGAGCTTAAAGGAGCTAGAAAGATCCTAAACAGTGGTTCTCAACCTTCTGGCCCTTTAAATACAGTTCCTCATGTTGTGACCCAACCATAAAATTATTTTCGTTGCTACTTCATAACTGTAATGTTGCTACTGTTATGAATCATGATGTAAATATCTGATATGCAGGATGGTCTTAGGCGACCCTTGTGAAAGGGTCGTTTGACCGCCGAAGGGGTCGCGACCCACAGGTTGAGAACCTCTGTCCTAAGACATCACATCAGCCAGTTTGTATGTTCTACATCTTTTGGAGTACTGGGGATCGAGCCCACAACCCAGGCACGTGCCCTTGACCGGAATCGAACCTGGGACCCTTCAGTCCACAGGCCACATTCTACCCACTGAGCCAAACCAGCCAAAACTTAGGGGGTTCATTTTTAAGTGAATGATTAACTTGCAATCAATTGTCCTCTCTATACTTTAATTTCCTCATTTATTAAATGGCAGATATTGACTAAGTTGTTTCTAAAATTCTTCAGGCTAGACACTTAAAAAAGTTAATACTTGTGTACAAAAATTTATAAGATTCCTAGAACTTTCTAAATAGAAAAAAATACAACAAATTATCTTCACTTCATCACTGCCTTTAGGGTTATAATTAGCCATTGAAATGATAGAATTATGTAGAAAGAATGAGACAAAGAAATGAGTTTCTCTTCTGACCTAAAAGAAATATACTTCCACAAAAACTGATAAATTTTGACCTTTCAATATTTTCCAGTATCAGAGAAGTATGTATTCAAAGGGCATGTTTAGTTCATAATTGAATGAATTAAAAGGTAAATCAAAAGCCAAACAACTAATTCCCTATCATTCATCTTAACCAATAGCATAATAAAATTATATTTACTTATACTATTCCTTTAATGTACATTGTATATTAGAATGTTAGAAGTTTGGGAATCTGTGGGAGTGAACAAAATTGATATTAATAAAAATGTAAGATGATGTCATTTTTTTCTTTTTTGCAAGGAAAAGAAGCACAGTATTGAAAATACAATTTAAAACAATATACATGCCCCATTTGTTGGTCTGCAGTAAGGTTTTATGTGCCTTATCCTTGCTAACCTAGCTTTTAGTTCCTGTATTTTAACTGCTGAGTTAGTTAAGGTATGCATGCTCATTTATTGAGCAAACCCCAAACCTATTGAAAAAACCCAGGATGGGCCACAGTGGAACAAAACTATGACACCCTTGCCAAATGTTAACTTTCTATTGAGAAACACTAAAAATATGAATAATAGGAGGAAGCCAAAATAATACCAATTGGTAGCACACATGAATTAAAAATATTCTGGGAATCTGCTGATTCTGTATTTATGAAGTGGTAACAATAAAACAGGAACTAAATACTATGGGTCAGAAGTGGGGTAAAATAACAAACGGCCAGCTTTGGAAAATAAAGAAGAAACAAGTATGAAATAGGGAGTATTCTGAGCACTACCTATACAATGAATAATAATTATAGAAAAGCTTCAGGATAGAATCTTGGCTTCAGTCCCACAGCACATAGCACACTTTTCCTCGAAGCTGTAATTGATGGGTTTGAGCTCTGCTGATACAGAGAATGGGTAAAGTTACCATAGTGAAAGGAAAACAAATGCACTCAGTAAACCATGGTGGCTACTGTTGAAAGAAAGTAGACAGCCTTTCAATTGCAAAGTGAATTTTGTCTCCAGTTGACTAATGTGGTTGACTTTTAAGAGAAAACATGCTCCTAATTAAGGGTTAAAAGGCTGATTTCAGTTTGAACTAACTTTAAAATAAAAAATGAAGCTGTTGGTAAATAGGACCCTTTTAGTATTCAGACCTTAGCTTCATATACACAGGGCTATATTATCAATTCCCAGCCATAAACACAAACTAATCACCAGAACCAGCACTGACTAAACAGATGATTTCCTGGCCTTGCAATTCCAGGCCTGACGGGGTCTATTTGCCGGTACAAGGTCAAAGCAACTGTTTATTCCCCAAATGAGCTGCACTCCACAATCTTACAGGAACTCTATTCTTTGCCATTTGAATAGAGGTACAATGCTTTGAGGCAAGGCAGAGGCATTTCAATGCACTGGAAGTGGCTACATTCAGTAATTAAACCCTGCCTGCAATGTGCAGCATTTTCACAAAGTGATCAAATGTTTCCTTCTTCTGTTCTGTCCACTGCTCAATGAAAAAAGCCTAAGGAAAATGCCAGCGCACCCTTACACACAAGAGAATCAAT